TCCCGCGCTGTTCCACTCGTATGCTGCTCAAGATAGTACAGTCTTCCGCCGCTATCACTTTCGTTACTCTCGATTACAGTCTCAAATGCACGTATAAAGGTGCAGTAGTTGAGTGGATTCCCGTCAAAGATAGGCACCTGTCTTCGGGGTAGCGTGTTTTCCTGCTGCTGATTCACAAAGTCCTCCATGACACGATTCTGCTGTTCGAGGATGTGAAAGGCTTGGTCACTAAGGCCAGACTGCTCATCAGAGTCTGAACTGCACTGACTTGGAACCTTGTGTCTAGTCTTGTGTTCTTTAGGTCTGAAATTGGCACCATGGAAGACCGGAGATGATTTCTGCTTTAAATCTCCAGAAAAACCATCAGAAATAGCCGCCGCGCGCGGATCCACGCTAGGAACAAATGTCAGCGAAGTAAGCTACTGATTCCTGTCTTTGGCTCTCATCGATTAGTGCTGCATTTATACTCCTCGTGTGCATCTGTAAATCTTTGAAAAAGGGGAAGTAATCTCCGTCAGTTTCACCTTGACTGCTTCAAGATAGTTCTCATCCGTTAATAAGCTGTCAATTTCTTTACACTTAGCCGTCAAGGCAGACAGCACTCCGCCTCTTCTCTTTCTAAATTCTCGGATCCTTTTCAGGCTAACTGCTTCTCGATCAAGCGAAGGATTAGGCTTCCGCGAACGGGTACTTGAACGACGAACATCTTCACCATTTTCCCTGCGGAACACGACAAATTAGCTTCCTGAACCACACGAGATATCGTCCAAAAGTCCAACAATTATCGTCTTTACGAATATAGTCGCAGCCTTTACGCGCTATAGTTTTTAACACACAAATTTTATTCTAGAACTTCTACAACTGGTGGAGGGAAACAAGTGAACGGATGTGAAGTATAGCGGCTGAAAAATAACAATTAAACAAATACAAAGTCAAGATAACACAACCTACGAACTGAACGAAAGCAATAAGGCAAACTAGAAATGCGAATGGACCAAACACGATACTCACAAGACGATAGCGAGATAAGGACGAAATACTAGGACGAGCAAAGACGCAAACATCAAACTGTAAACTGGACTTAGCGCAACTAACGAAGAACTGACGCGAAAATTACAATAAAAGCTAAATATACGATATGTAGAAAAACCGTAACACGAAGGACAAAGCTACGCGGACAATGAAAAACTAATGAACCAAAAAACAGCACTAAAGGCGCGAACACGATAATAACTAAAAACGCGGCGAACATAAAAATACTAAAAAGGTAACGGAAAACATTCCTGGCGCCTACAACGTCCCAAAAATTCCTGACATACCACCCAAAACTGTTTTCCTCACCTCTCACACACCCCACACAGCTTATTAGTTCCCGACCTTCATCCTCCCTTGATACATACAACCTATTAACATCTCTTTTTGAATGGAAAGCACCGTTCATTGTCAACACCTTTCTAGTCATTGAATCCAATGTTTTCAGTTCTTCCTTTGCCCATCTTAGCTGCTCCATACCTGATCAGCACTGACACTGGGCAGGTGTTAATCGCTATAACCTTATTCTTTCAATTGAATCTTGATTTGAACATTAGTTTCAGCCTTCTTTTTTACTCTTTTTTTCATCTCCTTTTCGTTTATTACATCCGCCTCAATAATCCCCAAATATTTACACCTTCTTTCACCGCGTTCTCCCATTATCCGCCCATACAAAAGAGTTATACCTTCAAACCTTACTTTCTTTCCCCTTGTCATTACCAACACAGTAGTGATACAGGGATGAAATTAAGCCCCGTTGGTGTCGAGTAAGTGTCGAGTAAAGTCGAGGTACATCATTGATATGCATAAGGGTCGAGTCCATGACGTCACTCATTGTTTTAACCTAGGAAAAAAGTGGGTTCCTTCATACCGATCAGTGTCTTCCTCCATATCTAGTGAGTGTCTCTCTTATACAATAAGAGCAATAGGTTTACCTATATAGAATTGCCCGGTCTCTTTTAACCCTAATGATTGGCTCATGTAGAAATTATTATGTGTTCAAAATGAAAGCGCTCAGTTGTTGAACACGCTATTGGGTACCCAACTGGTTGTTGAAGGCGTACGCAGGCATCCTTGCTCGCCCAGTTACAGCTGTGAAAAACAGCAGTTTCGCGGAGCAGAGACGCCCGTCATCCTGGATGATGGTGCCTGTCCCCGAGCTAAAACCTGTTATTGACATCAACAAATATCTTCGTCCGATCTCCCTAACCTCCGTAATATCTAAACTTGCACAGGACTTTGTCGTGGCTCTCCATTTCGGCCCTGCGGTTCTGGAGGTGATTGATCGAAATCAGTATGGTTGCATCCCATCGTCCTCTACCTTACACGCCCTTACGTACATGCTACATGTACCTGGTTGCAAGCTACCGACGGGTCTGGGACTGCTGTGAGAGTCGTCCCATTTGATTACAGGAAGGCCTTCGATCTCAGCAACCACACCCTATCTACCTGAGCGCAAAGTTTTCGGCCTATCTTTTGCTCGCGTCGTTGCCCTCTGGGTGGCCGACTTCTTAACGCATAGACAACAAAGCGTTAAGTTGTCTGGAGACTTTTTCTGAGTGGGGCCCTGTGCCCGATGGTGTGCCTCAAGGAACCAAAATAGGCCCATCGCTATTCCTCAGGGTTTCCAGTGTAGACATATGGAAGTACCTTGATGATACTTGCTAGGGAGATTAAGCATCGCATTTACGGCAAACAGCAAACGTGAATTTGTACCACTGACTAAGTTTCCTCTTTACTTGTCGTTTATTGTTCATTATCCCTAAGAATTGTTTTAAGCTGTTTTTTCTAATTTCTCATTTTGTTAATTTCTCAACTTGCATCTCAAGTTTGCCGATTGGCGTGAACGCGATGCTTAATTTCTCTACGATTGCTGAGTTGGTCCCATGAGGTGCACAGGGTGACATTCAAAGCGCAGTTAGTGCCGTCGAGTACAGATCAAGTGAGCAACGCATGCAACTAAATGCTGACGTAAATACAAGGAGATTAAACTAGATGATCATCGACTTTAAAAAGAACAAACACGTCTTCAGCCATGTTGTGGTCGACGAGAAGGAGCTAGATGTTGTAAATAGTGTCAAAATTATATGTATAACACTGTCTAGCGATCTCAAGTGGAACGTTTATAAAAAAAATGAAACTATTAAGGAAGCAAATAAGCGTTTGTATTTTTTGGTTCTGCTAAGGAGAGCTGGCGTAAGCTGTTAAGATAATTATTGTCAACTTCTACAGTACAGTAAAAGGACCAGAACTCTAGAATATTGCTCGCCCATTTTCCACCATAGCCTTTTTACCGACTAAGTGAGTGTGTACAAAAAAGAGCACTGTCCATAATAGCGCCTGATAAATCATACGAACACTGTTTAGTCAGTTTTGGTCTCAGCACTTTATATGATAGGCATAACGATCAGTGTATTAAGCTGTTTAATAGTGTATCCTCGGATTAGCACAGACTCGCTTGCCTGCTTCCTCCGAAACACCAAGGCTACTACAATACCAGCCAAGAGAGAGTTTACGACTTGCCCCGTTTTCGCACAAACCGCTTCAAAAGCTCGTTCATACCAGCCATGTGCGGTTATGCAAACATGTTATTATAAGTATTACGTTATTTTTCTTCTCTTTTTCAGTTCTTTAGAATCACTTTTGTTTATTAACAAAATTGTAATTAGTCCTTTACCATTATTTCATACCTTTTATAGTATTGTATAAAATAATAGAACAATTCTGCCTGCCGGCTGCAATTTAATTCAAACTCTTATTTGTGCATTTGGAAATGTCTCCTATGGATTCTACTGACTCAAACGCGTCAACTCAAATTAACATTAAGACGATCCAGGTCTTTACTAAAACATAATCACCTGTGCAGTCAACTCCGTTCCCAGAATACCCTAGCTTGCAAGTACACTCGAAAGATCCTTCAGTGTTATTGCAGTCTGCATTAGCGTCACAGTTGTGTTCTCCGAGAACACAAGTGTGAGAGAGAGAGAGAGAGAGAGAGA